CACGAAATACCAATTTGTATCGCTGGTATTTTTATGTTCCCCAAAAATTTTCAGGCAAGCATATAGTTGCCTCTTCATCCATCTTTCCTTTCGTGTTTGGAGTATAAGTTTGCCAACAGTAGAGTAAGGATCATGAAATTTGATGTTTACATATGTCATACTAAACCCATGTGCAGTGGCCAAATTCAGGGCTCTGTTCAGTTACAGACTTATTGCCTTTTGTTAAAAATTTGAGTCCCGAGCATAACTCTACTCTCGTTTCAACTAGCTGATGATAAACCTTGGTGTATACATTGGTCATACTAAGAGGATGTATAGTGTACCAAATTAAGTGCCTGAAATCCTTTCATTACAGAATTTTTGTCATTTGTTAAATTTTGTGTCCAATTAAGTTGTTTTTGGGGATTGTTTATCAATTTAACTGAAATGTTTTTGTCAGTTTTTCTGGAAGCAAAAAATCGCATTTACAATAAAAAAAATTAATGATTTGATAATTTAGACTCTATGAGGGCGAGGTTTTGTGGCAGCATTTTTAGGTAATGATGCTTGAAACTCAGAGTTTAAACATTAATTGTTGTCTAGCTGTTATAAGGTTCAATGGTTAACATATCTAACGTTGATTGATGTCAACCATCAGTTTCAATATATACATTAGAAATGCTTAATGTCATGCCAACTGTAGATTGTGCCTTAGTCAGACACTGATGATTCTCTTTGTTGCCCACAATTTGATTTTCCCTATCAAAACACTTGCATATTTACATACCTGATATATACTTTTTATGTGTCAATCAAATTAGCTTGTACCCAGTAACTGAAACGCTGACTAAGTCTAGTTTTATAATCAATCTTTCTTCTCTCAGATAAACCTTTGATAAATAGGTATAGATGTTTAAGGTTTACAGTGTAATCAAAACTTGTCCTTCTGGATCTTCATGTAGTCTTACAAAAAAATGGACATCACTGTTTTAAACTTACATAAAAAAAAAACCTCACAAGTGAAGACATTTCATTGCTCACTATCTCAAAATAATAAGCTAAAAAAGTTGGAAGAATTTGAGGAAAGATCACAAACAAAAGTCATGAGATTGTATAATTGAAATAGCTGGTTCTGAATATTGAAGGAAATCCTGATTTTTTAAAGGTGGGAATATTACATTATAAGATATGTCCTCATGATATAAGCTAATTTATCTTATTCCAAAGTTTCATTTTATCCTTGAAACTTGATACGTATAATTTCCTCACAAGTGGCATAAGACACATATAGCTGCAGTTTGACACTGCCTGGTGGAAGTAGGTCATGGTGACGATAAATGTGGGATGCGGGGAATATGTATGGTGGTACAAACGCATTATTGAACTTTATTAAACAAGAGGGGATTACAATTAGCTTCTTGAAGACAAAGGGATGACAATAACTTGCTTCATGCTAAGGCTTAACAGAACAGGTGTCATGACTAACAGTTGATACTGCTAGACCTGCTGGAATCTTCAGAACAGTGTGATAAGGCAGTGTTTGTGAATTTTTTTCACTTTTTTTTCTTAAATATTTCACAATGTCTTTGTTAGATGTAATTATTGTACCCCCAGCAATTAGATTAGTAAGGGGGTATGCTAGAATCAGTTTGTCTAGTTAGGGGGTATGCTAGAATCAGTTTGTCTAGTTAGGGGGTATTCTAGAATCAGTCTGTCCATCTATAGAAAAAAGTTGTGAACAAATTCAATAAAACTAAATGAGTAATGTTAGAGACATTGTGTAGATTTGTATACAGGTTTTTACAACTGAAATTTAGGTTACCATAACAACAAGGTCTCTGAACACAGGTTTTTGTGTAATGGCTCATCAGTCCTTATAAAGATGAATTTTGATGTGACTTGGTCAGCTTATATTTCATACAAAGCCTTTTGTCTGACACAGGTGTTATCCTCAGTGACAGATTCTTATGTGTGTGTAGGTATGTTATCCTCAGTGACAGATACTTATGTGTGTGTAGGTATGTTATCCTCAGTGACAGATACTTATGTGTGTGTAGGTATGTTATCCTCAGTGACAGATACTTATGTGTGTGTAGGTATGTTATCCTCAGTGACAGATATGTGTGTGTAGGTATGTTATCCTCAGTGACAGATATGTGTGTGTAGGTATGTTATCCTCAGTGACAGATACTTATGTGTGTGTAGGTATGTTATCCTCAGTGACAGATACTTATGTGTGTGTAGGTATGTTATCCTCAGTGACAGATACTTATGTGTGTGTAGGTATGTTATCCTCAGTGACAGATACTTATGTGTGTGTAGGTATGTTATCCTCAGTGACAGATACTTATGTGTGTGTAGGTATGTTATTCTCAGTGACAGATACTTATGTGTGTGTAGGTATGTTATCCTCAGTGACAGATACTTATGTGTGTGTAGGTATGTTATCCTCAGTGACAGATACTTATGTGTGTGTAGGTATGTTATCCTCAGTGACAGATACTTATGTGTGTGTAGGTATGTTATTCTCAGTGACAGATATGTGTGTGTAGGTATGTTATCCTCAGTGACAGATACTTATGTGTGTGTAGGTATGTTATCCTCAGTGACAGATACTTATGTGTGTGTAGGTATGTTATCCTCAGTGACAGATACTTATGTGTGTGTAGGTATGTTATCCTCAGTGACAGATACTTATGTGTGTGTAGGTATGTTATTCTCAGTGACAGATATGTGTGTGTAGGTATGTTATCCTCAGTGACAGATACTTATGTGTGTGTAGGTATGTTATTCTCAGTGACAGATATGTGTGTGTAGGTATGTTATCCTCAGTGACAGATACTTATTTGTGTGTAGGTATGTTATCCTCAGTGACAGATATGTGTGTGTAGGTATGTTATCCTCAGTGACAGATATGTGTGTGTAGGTATGTTATCCTCAGTGACAGATATGTGTGTGTAGGTATGTTATCCTCAGTGACAGATATGTGTGTGTAGGTATGTTATCCTCAGTGACAGATACTTATGTGTGTGTAGGTATGTTATCCTCAGTGACAGATACTTAGGTGTGTGTAGGTATGTTATCCTCAGTGACAGATACTTATGTGTGTGTAGGTATGTTATTCTCAGTGACAGATATGTGTGTGTAGGTATGTTATCCTCAGTGACAGATACTTATGTGTGTGTAGGTATGTTATCCTCAGTGACAGATACTTATGTGTGTGTAGGTATGTTATCCTCAGTGACAGATACTTATGTGTGTGTAGGTATGTTATCCTCAGTGACAGATACTTATGTGTGTGTAGGTATGTTATCCTCAGTGACAGATACTTATGTGTGTGTAGGTATGTTATCCTCAGTGACAGATACTTATGTGTGTGTAGGTATGTTATCCTCAGTGACAGATACTTATGTGTGTGTAGGTATGTTATCCTCAGTGACAGATACTTATGTGTGTGTAGGTATGTTATCCTCAGTGACAGATACTTATGTGTGTGTAGGTATGTTATTCTCAGTGACAGATATGTGTGTGTAGGTATGTTATCCTCAGTGACAGATACTTATGTGTGTGTAGGTATGTTATCCTCAGTGACAGATACTTATGTGTGTGTAGGTATGTTATCCTCAGTGACAGATACTTATGTGTGTGTAGGTATGTTATCCTCAGTGACAGATACTTATGTGTGTGTAGGTATGTTATCCTCAGTGACAGATACTTATGTGTGTGTAGGTATGTTATCCTCAGTGACAGATACTTATGTGTGTGTAGGTATGTTATCCTCAGTGACAGATACTTATGTGTGTGTAGGTATGTTATTCTCAGTGACAGATACTTATGTGTGTGTAGGTATGTTATCCTCAGTGACAGATACTTATGTGTGTGTAGGTATGTTATCCACAGTGACAGATACTTATGTGTGTGTAGGTATGTTATCCTCAGTGACAGATACTTATGTGTGTGTAGGTATGTTATCCTCAGTGACAGATACTTATGTGTGTGTAGGTATGTTATCCTCAGTGACAGATACTTATGTGTGTGTAGGTATGTTATCCTCAGTGACAGATACTTATGTGTGTGTAGGTATGTTATTCTCAGTGACAGATATGTGTGTGTAGGTATGTTATCCTCAGTGACAGATACTTATGTGTGTGTAGGTATGTTATCCTCAGTGACAGATACTTATGTGTGTGTAGGTATGTTATCCTCAGTGACAGATACTTATGTGTGTGTAGGTATGTTATCCTCAGTGACAGATACTTATGTGTGTGTAGGTATGTTATCCTCAGTGACAGATACTTATGTGTGTGTAGGTATGTTATCCTCAGTGACAGATACTTATGTGTGTGTAGGTATGTTATTCTCAGTGACAGATACTTATGTGTGTGTAGGTATGTTATTCTCAGTGACAGATACTTATGTGTGTGTAGGTATGTTATCCTCAGTGACAGATACTTATGTGTGTGTAGGTATGTTATCCTCAGTGACAGATACTTATGTGTGTGTAGGTATGTTATCCTCAGTGACAGATACTTATGTGTGTGTAGGTATGTTATCCTCAGTGACAGATACTTATGTGTGTGTAGGTATGTTATCCTCAGTGACAGATACTTAGGTGTGTGTAGGTATGTTATCCTCAGTGACAGATACTTATGTGTGTGTAGGTATGTTATCCTCAGTGACAGATACTTATGTGTGTGTAGGTATGTTATCCTCAGTGACAGATACTTATGTGTGTGTAGGTATGTTATCCTCAGTGACAGATACTTATGTGTGTGTAGGTATGTTATCCTCAGTGACAGATACTTATGTGTGTGTAGGTATGTTATCCTCAGTGACAGATACTTATGTGTGTGTAGGTATGATACTTAAATCTTTATTATATTGCTATCACATCTATATGACACACTGAGCTTGTATTATTCTGTACATATTAATTTAATAGGATATTCATTGGATGATAGGTAGATTCTGTGATAAAAAAACAGCCACTTCAGGAACGTTTCCTTATTGATATATTGTAGAACAAAACAGACAATGCCATGCAAGATGGTGATCGACGGGATCCTCGGCGGGCAGAATTACAGAGAACCGGGTCAGGAAACAAAGTACCAGTGGGCAAAACAGCTTCCAACTCCTCTGCACCGGGTGCTCTAGGAGGTAGGCACATTGAAAAAGATGAAAATTATGTCAAACGAAGAGAGGGAGACATAGCGTTGTAGTACTGCTTCATCTGGCTTTGATTCTTAATCTGGGTCTAATGATAATTTCTGGTTCAGCTAATAACTTTTAAACCATTAAAGACTGCTTAATTACAGTTGCTGTACACCTTTATTATGTAAAGTCAACGTGTAGTACACTAGCATTAGGTCACATGTGACTCTGGCCTTAAGCTCACCTGTTAATGTTACACAATTTCATGTCAGTTAACAAACAGGTGAGCAATGCAGGCCCATTGGGCCTCTTGTATGTTGGAACAGCACTGCCCTCACCTGGTTCCTAATATCTAGCCCCAATCATAAGATTGTTTGTTGTCCAGACGTTTGTCCATCCTTAAACAATTTTTGTAATTGCTATTTCTTGAGAAGTACTGGGTGGATTTTGCAAAAGATTTTGTGAAATTTTTAGATAATATGACCCAAGGTGTGGTACGTTGATAACATTACGTCGTCTGCTGTCTGCAGTGTTCACACTTTCCACCAAACAACTTCTTCTCAACAACCAAAGGCCCAGGTGTTGATATTTGGCCAGTAGCCTGTGACAGGCAACCATCTTAATGTAATTTGGCAGTTAAAGAGTAGTGTCACTTGCAGGAATTTTCTGATTTCACATAAGTAAGAGCAAAATACAGTGGATGTAAGAGACAAGAAGGGAAAAGATCCAACTTCAGAGGAACAAAGACTTAACAAAGTGGGTGGCAAGATTCCTAGGGGATTTCTTGATTGTATATGAAACCTCTGATTTGTGATAATTTTTGTTGCAGATTGACTAGATATGTATTAGCAGAAATTTTGTACCTTCTGGTTTTTCAGCCATCCAGTCACCACGTCACAGTGCTAGCAGTGGGGTGCTTCCAGATCTTCTCCCTCCTCACACGCCCCCACAATCACGATCCCCGCCGACGCCCCAGCGTCCACAGGACAAAACCACATCAGATGAGGTACGACACATAAAATCTTAACATCTATCAAACTCTATGTTGAATACTAACTTTCAGAAAGGTGGGATCAATTGATTAAACATTAACTTTTGGAATGGGATGAAACTTTATATGTAAACAATATTTAAGTTTAACTTTTGGGGATAAAAAAACATTGAATGGAGAAAAATTAAGGACTAATTCTGTACTGATCACCTGACCGCTGATTGTCTGTCCCCCTAACAAATGTCCAATTTCTGAGAACTAATTACTGTACTGATCACCTGACCGCTGATTGTCAGCCCCCCCCCTAACAAATGTCCAATTTCTCAGGACTAATTCTGTACTGGTCACCTGACCGCTGATTGTCAGTCCCCCTAACAAATGTCCAATTTCTCTGTGCAGTACCGACAAGCTGTGAGCAGTGCAGTTACACCATCAATGCGACACCAGCGGTCTTTTTCAGCGTTTGGTTTTGGAGCAGAGGGATCAACTATTGGCTCCATTTCTCAACAGTCACGAAGAGGATCACAGATCAATGTCAACGTGACACCATCACAAACCACGACAGAAGCCATCGGGGACACACCAGAAATCAGAAAATACAAGAAAAAATTCAACTCTGATATCTTGTGTGCAGCATTATGGGGTATCCAATGTTTTCTAGCTATCAAAATCCAATCTATATGATATTTTATACTACTGTGAAACTCACTTATTATGATATCAGATTTTATGATATTCCAGGGATTTTTTCCATTTACCGAATATTACTTATATAAATTAGGAACACAAAACCTTCCTATGATATCATACAACATGAAATAATTATTGTAATAATTGTTTTCTATTGAGAATGTTTATAGTTAACAGCTGGGCTGTTCTTTAATTGTTACACTAATAATCTTCAAATTATTGTTAGAGGCGTACAACCGTAACCATAGTTACAGGTTAATTTACCTACCTGTGAAAACTGTGTAAACTCAACAGATGACATATACAACACTACATATGACATATAGAACACTACTGATGACATATAGAACACTACAGATGACATATAGAACACTACAGATGACATATAGAACACTACAGATGACATGTAGAACACTACAGATGACATATAGAACACTACAGATGACATATAAAACACTACAGATTACATATAGAACACTACAGATGACATGTAGAACACTACTGATGACATATAGAACACTACAGATGACATATAAAACACTACAGATTACATATAGAACACTACAGATGACATGTAGAACACTACTGATGACATATAGAACACTACAGATGACATATAGAACACTACTGATGACATATAGAACACTACAGATGACATATAGAACACTACAGATGACATATAAAACACTACAGATGACATATAGAACACTGCCAATGACACATACAATGAATTATATTCAATAGTTAGTACATGTTAATAATGATGTAAATCTGCTTTCTTCCCTTCAGGTGTGAATCTGTTGATAGGTACAGAGAGTGGTCTAATGCTATTGGACAGAAGTGGTCAGGGAAAGGGTAAGTTATCATACATTACAAGGCCATTAATGACATTGTAACATAGGATTTGATTGGCTCGTCAGTCTAGGTACTACTCTGTAAGACATGAAATGCTCATTTTTTAATTATTTTATGAAGTAGATACAGTTGTGACATTTTTAATTTCAGAAAGCAGTTTGTATTGATTCAGCCTTTCTGGGAAAAAACTCTGGTATCGAATATGTAACCAAAATTCCTTGCTGTAGCAAAGATATTTTCTGTCTTGTCTTAAATGACTCATATTGTAACAAATAAGACAATAAAAAAAGGATATGACATGATTAACATTGTAAGTATTTATGCCCACAGTGTACACGTTGATCTCACGGCGCCGTTTCCAGCAGATGGAAGTGTTAGAGGGACAAAATATCCTGGTGACAATCTCTGGGAAAAAGAACAAGATACGTGTGTTCTACCTGAATTGGTTAAAAAACAAGATCTTCAAGACGGAGGGTGTAAGTGTTGTAGGTATCTCTAATTTATTAAGCATGCTGCATGTTCTGTCTCATAAGGCCACTACCAGCCTCTCAAACCCCTGTAAAAGTCTCATAAGGCCAGTATAAGCCTCACAAAGCCCTGTAAAATTCTCTTAAAGGCCAGTATAAGCCTCACAAAGCCCTGTAAAATTCTCTTAAAGGCCAGTATAAGCCTCACAAAGTCCTGTAAAATTCTCTTAAAGGCCAGTATAAGCCTCACAAAGCCCTGTAAAATTCTCTTAAAGGCCAGTATAAGCCTCACAAAGCCCTGTAAAATTCTCTTAAAGGCCAGTATAAGCCTCACAAAGCCCTGTAAAATTATCTTAAAGGCCAGTATAAGCCTCACAAAGCCCTGTAAAATTCTCTTAAAGGCCAGTATAAGCCTCACAAAGCCCTGTAAAATTCTCTTAAAGGCCAGTATAAGCCTCACAAAGCCCTGTAAAATTCTCTTAAAGGCCAGTATAAGCCTCACAAAGCCCTGTAAAATTCTCTTAAAGGCCAGTATAATCCTCACAAAGCCCTGTAAAATTCTCTTAAAGGCCAGTATAAGCCTCACAAAGCCCTGTAAAATTCTCTTAAAGGCCAGTATAAGCCTCACAAAGCCCTGTAAAATTCTCTTAAAGGCCAGTATAAGCCTCACAAAGCCCTGTAAAATTCTCTTAAAGGCCAGTATAATCCTCACAAAGCCCTGTAAAATTCTCTTAAAGGCCAGTATAAGCCTCACAAAGCCCTGTAAAATTCTCTTAAAGGCCAGTATAATCCTCACAAAGCCCTGTAAAATTCTCTTAAAGGCCAGTATAAGCCTCACAAAGCCCTGTAAAATTCTCTTAAAGGCCAGTATAAGCCTCACAAAGCCCTGTAAAAGTCTCTTAAAGGCCAGTATAAGCCTCACAAAGCCCTGTAAAATTCTCTTAAAGGCCAGTATAAGCCTCACAAAGCCCTGTAAAAGTCTCTTAAAGGCCAGTATAAGCCTCACAAAGCCCTGTAAAATTCTCTTAAAGGCCAGTATAAGCCTCACAAAGCCCTGTAAAAGTCTCTTAAAGGCCAGTATAAGCCTCACAAAGCCCTGTAAAATTCTCTTAAAGGCCAGTATAAGCCTCACAAAGCCCTGTAAAATTCTCTTAAAGGCCAGTATAAGCCTCACAAAGCCCTGTAAAATTCTCTTAAAGGCCAGTATAAGCCTCACAAAGCCCTGTAAAATTCTCTTAAAGGCCAGTATAAGCCTCACAAAGCCCTGTAAAATTCTCTTAAAGGCCAGTATAAGCCTCACAAAGCCCTGTAAAAGTCTCTTAAAGGCCAGTATAAGCCTCACAAAGCCCTGTAAAATTCTCTTAAAGGCCAGTATAAGCCTCACAAAGCCCTGTAAAATTCTCTTAAAGGCCAGTATAAGCCTCACAAAGCCCTGTAAAATTCTCTTAAAGGCCAGTATAATCCTCACAAAGCCCTGTAAAAGTCTCTTAAAGGCCAGTATAAGCCTCACAAAGCCCTGTAAAAGTCTCTTAAAGGCCAGTATAAGCCTCACAAAGCCCTGTAAAATTCTCTTAAAGGCCAGTATAAGCCTCACAAAGCCCTGTAAAATTCTCTTAAAGGCCAGTATAATCCTCACAAAGCCCTGTAAAAGTCTCTTAAAGGCCAGTATAAGCCTCACAAAGCCCTGTAAAAGTCTCTTAAAGGCCAGTATAAGCCTCACAAAGCCCTGTAAAATTCTCTTAAAGGCCAGTATAAGCCTCACAAAGCCCTGTAAAATTCTCTTAAAGGCCAGTATAAGCCTCACAAAGCCCTGTAAAATTCTCTTAAAGGCCAGTATAAGCCTCACAAAGCCCTGTAAAAGTCTCTTAAAGGCCAGTATAATCCTCACAAAGCCCTGTAAAATTCTCTTAAAGGCCAGTATAAGCCTCACAAAGCCCTGTAAAAGTCTCTTAAAGGCCAGTATAAGCCTCACAAAGCCCTGTAAAATTCTCTTAAAGGCCAGTATAAGCCTCACAAAGCCCTGTAAAATTCTCTTAAAGGCCAGTATAAGCCTCACAAAGCCCTGTAAAATTCTCTTAAAGGCCAGTATAAGCCTCACAAAGCCCTGTAAAATTCTCTTAAAGGCCAGTATAAGCCTCACAAAGCCCTGTAAAATTCTCTTATACTCACGAAGCCCTGTAAAAGTCTTTCAAAGTCAAGCCTCATCAAGGCCTGTAAGATTTTCACCTGTAAAACCTTACCTTACATGGACCACTAACAGACTCAAAAACAAGCTTCACAAAGCCAGTGACAACCTAAATAAGGGCTAACCTCATGAAGACAAGTGCCAAACTCATAATGACCTAATTATGGCCTCATCAAAGCCAGTACCAGCCCCTTATATTTTGCTGCAAAGAAGTCCCCTTCATACAACTAAAATCTCTTCCCAATTTTTCTTTAAGATTAACAGGCAGTTGTGTAAAACAAACTTATAAAGTTAGGGTTTGATATTTATGCAGGCCCTACTTGTATCTACCAGTACAAATCCAAGTACTAACCTCACAAAGACATAGAAGACAATGATATCTAACACTCCTTAGTCTAGTGGGCAAGTGTGTTTAAAATGAGATAAACTTTTAAAAAGTGGAAAAAATATATGTTGGTTGTTTTTAACTCACCAGGTTCAAAGGGCCATTGAGCTTACTATAAATTTGTTAGTCACATTTGATCTGAGGTATCTATGAGTAAAGAGGATAGACCCTGTGGTTTGAGGGCGATTCCCAAAAAGTGAATTTTACAAGTCCTTTTTCCCCTGTAGGAATAATTGGATTTTCCAAAATTTGGTCTGAAGCTTTCTTGGGTGAAGGAGACTCAGTTTTGTATAAACTATGGGTCTTGATCCCCCTTAGGAGGGGGGGGTCCTCTTGAAAATTTTACCTCTTCTGTAGAAATAATTAGATTGTGCCCAAATTTGGTCCATTGGTGAAGGGGAATCAAGTTTGTATAATGGTTTGGAAATCATTTTGAAATTTGTTATGAGCTTTATATCAGAGCTCTATAAAGACAAGTGTCCCAAAACAAATTGAGTGATCAAACTGGACATTCATGATGGACAAGGAGCATTGTGATAGCATCATGTCATAATTAGGAGCAAGTACAATAGGTCCAGTCAGTATCTGAATACACACAATGAGGTCTCTTTATAACAGTGTATTCTGTACTAGAATTTCTCTATGTGACACTGTTCAACATTTTCAAATTATTAGTTTTTTATGAACAGATCGGTAAAATTAAGTGAAAGAGCATTACTTGTTATGTTTTATTGTTGAACAGAATAGCTTGTAATGCCAGGTCCCCCACATAAATGTGAGAGTTCGATGAAGGTGAAAAAGATTTCTCTGCTAAATAAGGGAATCTTGGCAAGTTGCTCGATTTTCAGTGAAACAAATACGTGGTAGTTATTCTGTAGAGACTTGTTGTAAATCATCGATTTTGGCAGTATGTTAGAAATTGTGTGAGATGTTTCCTTACTGTAACATTTTGCTCTGATTTACGTTTGTTGATAAATGTTGTAATTTTAATTTGTTATGTTGGTGACTCTAGATCGAAGTAAGGGAAAGAAAATTGATGGTATGGTGTGTTGGCACAGCGGGATGGAGATCATTTATCACAAAGTGCAATTACACCCAGTAGTAATTTATAACACCTCACTGATTCAGAACACTTGACACAACATGTATTTTAGTTGGGGCTCAGATTAATTGTCTAGAATAGCTGTAGTTGTACAGGTTTCGTTAAAGTCGGTGAAATAGGATCTGAATCCATATTGTGGTAACATTTTCGAAACACTCCTCCAGCTCCACCTTAGAATGATCTCTGGGGGATTTTAGATTCTGACGTTTTACTGAATTAATTGTATCATGTTTTCACCATTTTTCAGAATGACAAGAGAAGTGGTTTTGTGAATGTTGGAGATTTAGAAGGCTGTGTGCACTTTAAAATTGGTAAGGATTGATCAGCATTGAAAGGGTAATACAATAAAGAATTTGTCCTGAATTGGGGAGATCTGGCTGTAAATAATGATAAAAATGGCGTGGATCAGCCCTGGAATTGGGGAGGTCTAGATTGAAATATGATGATGAAAGTGGCAAGGTTTAATGAAAGGATGCAAAGATACCACACAACAATATATAAAACAAACACAATATTATTACACGGAGAACAATGGCTGTGAACAATAGAAAATAATTCCGTCAGGGAACAGCAGAGATATTAATTAATCTTTTATTTGTGGTTTTCTTTTTCAGTGAAATATGAGAAAATAAAGTTCCTTGTCATAGCCCTTCAAGAAAGCATAGAGATCTATGCCTGGGCACCTAAACCATACCACAAGTTTATGGCATTTAAGGTAAGACATCATACTGTCAAACATTTCATTCTGAAATGAATTTTGTTAATGTACTCTTCAGATGATAAATCCATGCTGGGTGATATGTCCTTCCATGTATAGGTCATACGGCCTAAAGGACCAAGTGAGCTTTAATGCTGTACTGTGATGTCCATCTGTTACAGCCTTTTTTCAGTTTTTTCCGTAAAAATGTTTTTTGTCTTAAACCGAAAGTTCTATATTCATGATATACTTGGAGATAAGTCTTACAACGTCTGGGAAAAGAAATGAATTTGACCCATATTCAAATTCACATGGTTCAGATTGAATTAGAATCAACAGTCCAAATTTCCTGTTTTGCTGGCAGGATTCAGTTGTGAAGCCAGAAAAAGTTGCAAAATGGAATGGCTACATGATGACCCATATTCAATGTCACAAGTTTACTGAACTTTTAGATAACTTCTACCTGATCGGCCAAGAATTGTAATTTTTGTTTGGTAGGTTCATGGAAAGTCAAAAAGTCGGAGGAGTCAAATCTTATCAAAACTTCAAACAGTTATTTTAATGAATGAGAGCAAAATTCCCAGAATCCTGATATTTGCTCTTTAGGTTCCCTAGTTTCAGTGTAAATTAATCAGTTTCAGCAAACTTAACCAGGTGAGCAATATTAGGCCCTGTGTTTCTGCACATGCATGATTGAATGTAAGCAAAACCACCTGCAAATTCTGATAGTAAACCTGGAAAAAAACTGGAAAAGGAGTACAAGAAAGAAGCTTTACAATACATCTTTTCTTAGTCTTTCAGTGATCTAGTCCACAGACCCCTACTGGTAGATCTGACAGTGGAGGAAGGTCAGAGGTTAAAGGTTCTTTATGGGTCAAATTCCGGTTTCCATGCCATCGATGTTGATACAACTTCCTCCTTCGATCTATACATTCCTTCCCATGTAAGTATAACACTGGACATTTTTATGAACATTTTTACTGACAACAATCTTAGTAATGTGTGTGTTTTCTTTGTGGTTTGATATTGAATATTAATACTGATCACAAGTCAGGCGTAATACTATTTGACCATAAATAAGCCCACTTCATTTAGTGAAGGAAGGTTTACCAAGACTTAGGTTGGTGAGGACAAGCGTCTTAAAATGCCATCTTTTCTGGACCTGACTGAGATGACTGAGATTGGCATTTCTTGAATGTGGCTTAACATTGCATGCAGTGTGAATACCCATCCTTTGTAATTACAAAAAAATTGGAAAGGGTTTTATATCTACACAGAAGGTTAAATTTACGTGGAGGGTTTACATCTATACAGAGGGTTTACATCTATACAGAGGGTTTACATCTATACAGAGGGTTTACATCTACACAGAGGGTTTACATCTACACAGAGGGTTTACATCTACACAGAGGGTTTACATCTATACAGAGGGTTTACATCTACACAGAGGGTTTACATCTATACAGAGGGTTTACATCTACACAGAGGGTTTACATCTACACAGAGGGTTTACATCTACACAGAGAGTTTACATCTACACAGAGGGTTTACATCTATACAGAGGGTTTACATCTATACAGAGCGTTTACATCTATACAGCGGGTTTACATCTATACAGAGGGTTTACATCTATACAGAGGGTATACATCTATACAGAGGGTTTACATCTATACAGAGGGTTTACATCTACACATAGCGTTTACATCTATACAGAGGGTTTACATCTATACAGAGGGTATACATCTACACAGAGGGTTTACATCTACACAGTGGCTTTACATCTATACAGAGGGTTTACATCTATACAGAGGGTTTACATCTATACAGAGGGTTTACATCTATACAGAGGGTTTACATCTATACAGAGGGTTTACATCTATACAGAGGGTTTACATCTATACAGAGGGTTTACATCTATACAGAGGGTTAACATCTATACAGAGTGTTTACATCTATACAGAGGGTTTACATCTACACAGAGAGTTTACATCTATACAGAGAGTTTACATCTATACAGAGGGTTTACATCTATACAGAGGGTACAGCTACACAGAGAGTTTACATCTATACAGAGAGTTTACATCTATACAGAGAGTTTACATCTATACAGAGTGTTTACATCTATACAGAGGGTTAACGTCTATACAGAGGGTTTACATCTATACAGAGGGTTTACATCTACACAGAGGGTTTACATCTACACAGAGGGTTTACATCTACACAGAGAGTTTACATCTACACAGAGGGTTTACATTTATACAGAGGGTTTACATCTATACAGCAGGTTTACATCTATACAGGGTTTACATCTATACAGAGGGTTTACATCTACACAGGGTTTACATCTATACAGAGGGTTTACATCTACACAGAGGGTTTACATCTACACAGTGGCTTTACATCTCTACAGAGGGTTTACATCTATACAGAGGGTTTACATCTATACAGAGGGTTAACATCTATACAGAGGGTTAACATCTATACAGATGGTTTACATCTATACAGAGGGTTAATATATATACAGAGGGTTTACATCTACACAGGGTTTACATCTATACAGAGGGTTTACATCTACACAGAGAGTTTACATCTATACAGAGGGTTTACATCTATACAGAGGGTACAGCTACACAAAGAGTTTACATCTATACAGAGAGTTTACATCTATACAGAGAGTTTACATCTATACAGAGTGTTTACATCTATACAGAGGGTTAACATCTATACAGAGGGTTTACATCTATACAGAGGGTTTACATCTATACAGAGGGTTTACATCTACACAGAGGGTTTACATCTACACAGAGGGTTTACATCTACACAGAGGGTTTACATTTATACAGAGGGTTTACATCTATACAGCAGGTTTACATCTATACAGAGGGTTAACATCTATACAGAGGGTTAACATCTATACAGATGGTTTACATCTATACAGAGGGTTAACATCTATACAGAGGGTTTACATCTACACAGGGTTTACATCTATACAGAGGGTTTACATCTACACAGAGGGTTAACATCTACACAGAGGGTTAACATCTACACAGATCTACACAGAGGGTTTACATCTATACAGAGGGTTTACATCTATACAGAGGGTTTACATCTACACAGAGGGTTTACATCTACACAGATCTACACAGAGGGTTTACATCAATATGGAGAAATAGGGCTTATTGGTGGTTAAATACTGTAAATGAAGTGAATTCTATATAACATGCTTTCGTATATGAAATACCAGAAAGTCACACATCTGAGATCAGAAAACTTTTTAACTAATACTTTTGTGGTTTATAAAAGTGTTTTTAAAATATAGAGTTTACTACTAATGATTTCAGCCTTTTTACTGTCTCTTTGTTGTGGTCTCTATCGTAGCCTTTCTCACTTTTATTTGTGTGTGAATGCTTTGGTGAATTTGTTTTCATTTTCAATTGAAATTAAGGAGCAGACATAGGTTGAAACAGAAGGAGAAAGATATGGAGAATTTTGAATAGTGGCTGTATTGTGTATTTAGTGGGTGGATGGGGTGGGGGTAGGGTGTTACAGAAGGATGAAGAGATGGAGAATTTAAATAGTGGCTGTATTGTGTATTTAGTGGGTGGATGGGGTTGGGGGTAGGGTGTTACAGAAGGAGGAAGGGATGGAAATAATGGCTGTATTGTGTATTTAGTGGGTGGATGGGGTTGGGGGTAGGGTGTTACAAAAGAAGGAAGAGATGGAAAATTTAAATAGTGGCTGTATTGTGTATTTAGTGGGTGGATGGGGTTGGGGGTAGGGTGTTACAGAAGGAGGAAGAGATGGAAATAATGGCTGTATTGTGTATTTAGTGGGTGGATGGGGTTGGGGGTAGGGTGTTACAGAAGGAGGAAGAGATGGAAATAATGGCTGTATTGTGTATTTAGTGGGTGGATGGGGTTGGGGGGGTAGGGTGTTACAGAAGGATGGAGGGTGTTACAGAAGGAGGAAGGGATGGAAATAATGGCTGTATTGTGTATTTAGTGGGTGGATGGGGTTGGGGGTAGGGTGTTGCAGAAGGATGAAGAGATGGAGAAGTTAAATAGTGGCTGTATTGTGTATTCAGTTGGAGGATGGGGTTTGGGGTAAGGTGTTACAGAAGGATGAAGAGATGGAAAATTTAAATAGTGGCTGTATTGTGTATTTAGTGGGTGGATGGGGTTGGGGGTAGGGTGTTATTCTGAGTTTCCTATATGGCAGATATTTATCAAAACTCTCTCTGTTCCATGGTCATTTCAATATTTGTACCCCCACAGGGTATATAGTTATCACTGTGTATGCGTGTGCTAGTGAATGTGCTTTTACAGATATGATTCACATTCACACCATGGCAAGAACTTTGTGGTCATTGATGAAGGTTGTGTCATCTAGTGTATTCATAGCACTTTTGTCTCTTTTTTGTTGTCATATATTTTCTAAGTAATAAATATACAGGCACTATGGGAACCAATTTGAAAATGCCTTATGGAAAAGAGATGTGTGATATTAACCAAATTTGATAATAATTGATGGTTAAGTCAAGGGTGTGTTGGTTACTATGTCAACTGTATTAGTCTTCAAAGATCTCTTTATGTTAAAACCAAGTGACAAAAATGGACAAAAATATATTGGAAACTTCACTGTTACCATGTGTTACTGATGAAGGAACAGACACTTCACTGTAACCATGTGTTACTGATGAAGGAACAGACACTTCACTGTAACCATGTGTCACTGTTGAAGGCACAGACACTTCACTGTTACCATGTGTCACTGATGAAGGGACAGACACTTCACTGTTACCATGTGTCACTGATGAAGGGACAGACACTTCACTATTACCATGTGTTACTGATGAAGGAACAGACACTTCACTGTTACCATGTGTCACTGATGAAGGAACAGACACTTCACTGTTACCATGTGTCACTGATGAAGGAACAGACACTTCACTGTTACCATTTGTCACTGACGAAGGAACAGACACTTCAATGTTACCATGTGTCACTGATGAAGGAACAGACACTTCACTGTAACCATGTGTCACTGATGAAGGAACAGACACTTCACTGTAACCATGTGTCACTGATGAAGGAACAGACACTTCACTGTAACCATGTGTCACTGATGAAGGAACAGACACTTCACTGTAACCATGTGTCACTGATGAAGGAACAGACATTTCACTGTAACATGTGTCACTGATGAAGGAACAGACACTTCACTGTTACCATATGTTACTGATGAAGGAACAGACACTTCACTGTAACCATGTGTTACTGATGAAGGAACAGACACTTCACTGTAACCATGTGTCACTGATGAAGGAACAGACATTTCACTGTAACCATGTGTCACTGATGAAGGAACAGACACTTCACTGTAACCATGTGTCACTGATGAAGGAACAGACACTTCACTGTTACCATATGTTACTGATATAGTAATTAAGGAACAATGTTGACTAGTGATTATGGTTTTGTCTTCCCTGTAGTTTTGCCATAACAATGACAACACGGCACAAACGGGTATCACTTTCTATCTTAGTCAGGTAAATAGCTGGTACTCTCTGTTGCTTGCTACCATTTTGTTTTCTCCAGGGATACAAAACTTGAAAATGAAAATGATGCACGGTTATTCCTTATCTTGGTGAATGGTTGGCATTCTATTTTGGTATAGATATTAAAGTTTATATGCTATTTCAAGTCTTTCAGAATAATGTGAAGTGAAAATCAGGATGAATACCCATATAGCTGCAATCATTTTCATGAGCAAGGTTTAAAGGGGAACCCATACCATCCTTTGAATTCAGTTCTTTTTCCTGAGTTGTCAGTTTTATCTGTCACTTTGGTTATATTTAAAATGTTGGATCAAATTTGCTGATGTTTTCCATATCCTTATGTCCCTGTTACCTTAGTTACAACAGCACCAGGGTCTGATGCTCTCCATATCCTTATGTCCCTGTTACCCTAGTTCAACAGCACCAGGGTCTGATGCTCTCCATATCCTTATGTCCCTGTTACCCTAGTTACAACAGCACCAGGGTCTGATGCTCTCCATATCCTTATGTCCCTGTTACCCTAGTTACAACAGCACCAGGGTCTGATGCTCTCCATATCCTTATGTCCCTGTTACCCTAGTTACAACAGCACCAGGGTCTGATGCTCTCCATATCCTTATGTCCCTGTTACCCTAGTTCAACAGCACCAGGGTCTGATGCTCTCCATATCCTTATGTCCCTGTTACCCTAGTTACAACAGCACCAGGGTCTGATGCTCTCCATATCCTTATGTCCCTGTTACCCTAGTTACAACAGCACCAGGGTCTGATGCTCTCCATATCCTTATGTCCCTGTTACCTTAGTTACAACAGCACCAGGGTCTGATGCTCTCCATATACTTATGTCCCTGCTACCTTGGTTACAACAGCACCAGGGTCTGATGCTCTCCATATCCTTATGTCCCTGTTACCCTAGTTACAACAGCACCAGGGTTTGATGCTCTCCATATCCTTATGTCCCTGTTACCCTAGTTACAACAGCACTAGGGTCTGTTGGAATGTTCAAACTCCATAGGGTTATTTTTTGTTTAAACTCAAAAATGAAAAAAAAAAAAAATGTTAGCATTTAAAATATCAGAAAATGATAGTTCATAGCTTGGTATGAAATACTTGGGGTTTGTGTATTTAGGCTTTGTATGTAATACTTGGGGAGGGGGGTGTATTTAGGCTTTGTATGATATACTTGGGGTGTTTGTGTATTTAAGGTTTGAATGTAATACTTGGAGTGTGTATTAAAGCTTTGTATGAAATACTTGGAGTGTGTGTATTTAGGCTTTGTATGTAATACTAGGGGTGTGTGTATTTAGGCTTTGTATGTAATACTAGGGGTGTGTGTAGTTAAGCTTTGTATGAAATACTTGGAGTGTGTGTATTTAGGCTTTGTATGTAATACTTTGGGTGTGTGTATTTAAGCTTTGTATGTAATACTTGGGGTGTGTGTATTTAGGCTTTGTATGTAATACGTGGGGTGTGTGTGTATTTAAGCTTTGTATGTAATACTTGGGGTGTGTGTATTTAAGATTTGTATGTGATACTTGGGGGTGTGTGTATTTAAGCTTTATATGTAAAGTTTGGGATGTGTGTATTTAAGCTTTGTATGTAATACTTGGGGTGTGTGTATTTAGGCTTTGTATGTAATACTTGGGGTGTGTGTGTATTTAAGCTCTGTATGTAATACTTGGGTGTATTTAGGCTTTGTATGTAATACTAGGGGTGTGTGTGTATTTAGGCTTTGTATGTAATACTTGGGGTGTGTGTATTTAGGCTTTGTATGTAATACTTGGGGTGTGTGTGTATTTAAGCTTTGTATGTAATACTTGGGGTGTGTGTATTTAGGCTTTGTATGTAATACTTGGGGTGTGTGTATTTAAGCTTTGTATGTAATACTAGGGGTGTGTGTATTTAAGCTTTGTATGTAATACTTGGGTGTATTTAAGCTTTGTATGTAATACTTGGGGTGTGTGTATTTAGGCTTTGTATGTAAGACTTGGGGTGTGTGTATTTAGGCTTTGTATGTAATACGTGGGGTGTGTGTATTTAAGCTTTATATGTAAAGTTTGGGGGGTGTGTATTTAAGCTTTGTATGTAATACTTGGGGTGTGTGTATTTAGGCTTTGTATGTAATACTTGGGGTGTGTGTGTATTTAAGCTTTGTATGTAATACTTGGGTGTATTTAGGCTTTGTATGTAATACTTGGGGTGTGTGTATTTAGGCTTTGTATGTAATACTTGGGGTGTGTGTGTATTTAAGCTTTGTATGTAATACTTGGGGTGTGTGTGTATTTAGGCTTTGTATGTAATACGTGGGGTGTGTGTGTATTTAAGCTTTGTATGTAATACTTGGGGTGTGTGTATTTAAGATTTGTATGTGATACTTGGGTGTATTTAGGCTTTGTATGTAATACTAGGGGTGTGTGTGTATTTAGGCTTTGTATGTAATACTTGGGGTGTGTGTATTTAGGCTTTGTATGTAATACTTGGGATGTGTGTGTATTTAAGCTTTGTATGTAATACTTGGGGTGTGTGTATTTAGGCTTTGTATGTAATACTTGGGGTGTGTGTATTTAAGCTTTGTATGTAATACTAGGGGTGTGTGTATTTAAGCTTTGTATGTAATACTTGGGTGTATTTAAGCTTTGTATGTAATACTTGGGGTGTGTGTATTTAGGCTTTGTATGTAATACTTGGGGTGTGTGTATTTAGGCTTTGTATGTAATACTTGGGGTGTGTGTATTTAGGCTTTGTATGTAATACTTGGGGTGTGTGTATTTAGGCTTTGTATGTAATACTTGGGGTGTGTGTGTATTTAAGCTTTGTATGTAATACTTGGGTGTATTTAGGCTTTGTATGTAATACTTGGGGTGTGTGTATTTAGGCTTTGTATGTAATACTTGGGGTGTGTGTGTATTTAGGCTTTGTATGTAATACTTGGGGTGTGTGTATTTAGGCTTTGTATGTAATACTTGGGGTGTGTGTATTTAGGCTTTGTATGTAATACTTGGGGTGTGTGTATTTGGGCTTTGTATGTAATACTTGGGGTGTGTGTATTTAGGCTTTGTATGTAATACTTGGGGTGTGTGTATTTGGGCTTTGTATGTAATACTTGGGGTGTGTGTATTTAGGCTTTGTATGTAATACTTGGGGTGTGTGTATTTAGCAAGGGTAATAACATCACCAAACACATTCAAACCCATAGCTGGTAATGCTAGGAATGTGTGTATTTTTTACAGGGATTTAAGGGGCACAACCAAAAAAAAAAGGCTGTTAGAAAAAGTTAGTGATAGGGTTTCATCGTAAAAGAAACAAAGTTATTTAAATCTCTCTTCATTTAGAAATAAGTAGAGTAGTTTAATTTAAACAAGAAAAAAAACTGAGCTGTCAGGTCCCAGAAATCTCTTCCTGCTGTTGTTTGTTACATGGGGACAAAGATTTGTTTCTGTCTTAGAAGTGGAAAGTTCTATTATGTGAAATAAATTTTACAAAATTTTCCATTAACTTAATGCTATGAATAGGAACAGAAAGGTTGATTTTGAACAGAAATTTATCGAAACCTTGAGTCTAACTAAGACTATAAACAACATCTCCTTTGAATACAGTTCAGCATCTTGAGTGAGGTTTTGTAGGAATGAATTAAATTGTTTGAGTTTCACTTCAATTTATTTTTACTTGTGTATATTTGTCATAATTTTCTTTTCGTTTTTCCACAATCAACATTATCTGCTGTCAAGAAGACACAGATAAATGTGCATGAAAGGTTCTTTTTTCTGGCTTGGTATAGGAGTTATATTATATTTGACAACATTTTAAACAGGTGCAGTCACGGGTAAGATGTCGTCCACCCAGACATAATAACCTACTCTGTTCATGTCTCTCTAGTGTATCTAGTCTCCTAACAATTTCAGCACCAAGAAGAGGAAAAATTCTAAACTGCTTTCTATCCTTTAGAATTTTAATTGTTTTCCAAAATAGATATTACTGATACATCTATGATAAATCAGTTGATTTATTAATTTAACGAAAGACAAGTGAAACAAAATTAGAAAAGGATGAGAGGCATGTGATAATAAAAGGTATCCTTTACTAAACTGGGCAGTCATGTCACAGAATGTCTTCTGAATACCAGGCAACAGCAGGCTATGATACTCCGACCTACCAGCATGAGTACCTTCCTCTGTATCACAGATTTACAAAGTTTATATACTTGACCATACAGATAACCACTGCATGACTATATACTTGATGCCCTTAACATAACAAAAAAACCTATGAAGTATAAAAATAACCTGAGGAAGACAGATAGATAAAAGGGTGGTCGGGTGGCGCAGTGGTAACACACTCGCCTTTCACCTAGTTCGGGGTTTGACTCTTGGAATGGACTTGAAAAGGTAAGGGGTCACCTTTCAGGGCTCTCGATCTGCCAGATTTTGGGCCGATATTCGGCCCCATTCCCAATGCAAAATAGTATCTTTTTTTCCCAATTTAGACCCCAAGTTCTCCCAATTCTAAGGAAAATACCATTATTTTTCCCAATTCTAAGGGCCCCGGGCCCCAGTCCCAAAATGGGGTGTGAGAGCCCTGCCTTTCTGACCATGTGGGTTTTCCCCGAATACTTGTTTCCTCTCATAATAAGACCCCTCGCACACTTAAATCTGGGCCAACAAGAGTAATTAGTTGAAATAACTTGTTTCACAATTTTTGTAATATAAAGTTTATAGGTTATAGGCCAGTCTGGTGACCCACACAATAGTCAGTCTGGTGACCCACACAATAGTCAGTCTGGTGACCCACACAATAGTCAGTCTGGTGACCCACACAATAGTCAGTCAGTCTGGTGACCCACACAATAGTCAGTCTGGTGACCCACACAATAGTCAGTCTGGTGACAATAGTCCACCCACACATAGTCAGTCTGGTGACCCACACAATAGTCAGTCAGTCTGGTGACCCACACAATAGTCAGTCTGGTGACCCACACAATAGTCAGTCTGGTGACCCAAACAATAGTCAGTCAGTGGTGACCCACACAATAGTCAGTCTGGTGACCCACACAATAGTCAGTCAGTCTGGTGACCTACACAATAGTCAGTCAGTCTGGTGACCTACACAATAGTCAGTCAGTCTGGTGACCTACACAATAGTCAGTCTGGTGACCCACACAATAGTCAGTCTGGTGACCCACACAATAGTCAGTCTGGTGACCCACACAATAGTCAGTCAGTCTGGTGACCCACACAATAGTCAGTCTGGTGACCCACACAATAGTCAGTCTGGTGACCCACACAATAGTCAGTCTGGTGACCCACACAATAGTCAGTCTGGTGACCCACACAATAGTCAGTCTGGTGACCCACACAATAGTCAGTCTGGTGACCCACACAATAGTCAGTCTGGTGACCCACACAATAGTCAGTCTGGTGACCCAAACAATAGTCAGTCAGTCTGGTGACCCACACAATAGTCAGTCTGGTGACCCACACAATAGTCAGTCAGTCTGGTGACCTACACAATAGTCAGTCAGTCTGGTGACCTACACAATAGTCAGTCAGTCTGGTGACCCACACAATATTCAGTCTGGTGACCCACACAATAGTCAGTCTGGTGACCCACACAATAGTCAGTCTGGTGACCCACACAATAGTCAGTCTGGTGACCCACACAATAGTCAGTCTGGTGACCCACACAATATTCAGTCTGGTGACCCACACAATATTCAGTCTGGTGACCCACACAATAGTCAGTCTGGTGACCCACACTTTTTTGTGGTGTACTAAAGCACTTTCAGCGAATATTCTATAGCAATCTAAATTTGGAGAAAAACACTTTTGTAGCCTTATATCTTTTCATATGTAATAGAAAAGCATGTTTTTACTCCTTTTTTCTGAATGAATGTTTTCTTTGCTATTTATTTTTCATTTTAAACCAATCATTTATTTGACTTTTATCAAGAATGTGTAATGTAAAATTCATTTAAAGTATAAGGCATGATTTTAAATTATTTCATCTGTTTCTTTTGATAAGTAACACAGTGATTTTAATTGAAAATGTATATTTTTGTACAAAATGTTTCAATATTGTCATGAAAACGTACTGTTTTTGTCAAATATACAAATAATGATGGGTAAAGATAGAAATAAATATAATTTATTTTCTTTAAAACAATTTCCAAATTGTGCACTTTTAAAATGAGTTTTTCCCTGTTTAAACAAAGCTTATATATGTTTGTTGTTTTGCAGAGCCAGGGTCCCATCACACCACATACTATAGTTGTACTGCCTAACACCAACGGCATGCTGCTTCTACTCTGCTATAACAGTAAGTACGGTCCTACTATAATATACATTGTAGTGCAAACAGGAATTTGAGTTTTATTCAAGCGAATTTATCAATTTGAAAGCAACTCCTACTACTGTCATGTAATGTACGGGGTAAATCGTTACTACATGACAAGTTTTCTGTTTATAGATGAAGGGGTTTATGTCGACTCTAATGGCCGGGTCACCAAAAATGTGGTTCTGCAGTGGGGAGAACTTCCAACATCTGTAGGTAAGTAAACCAGATGACAGGACCTCTAGGTTTTAAACTGGTATCACCATATTTAGGATGGATTGAAGGTTGTCTAATGCCTTTGTGTAAAAGTATGGTACCTCAAAACATGCATCAGAATTGATCAATAACTTTTTTAGTAAGAGAGGTTTTTAAATATCGTTCATGAAAGGAAGCTGAAAAAGTGTTGATGTTTTTCGGCCTCATCAGAAGTTAGATATGCCAAGCAGTTAAAGCCATTTTGAAATATGATTGTGTAAACCTGACTTCTGTGAACAATACCAATTTTTAACTTCTCATTTCCTCTAGTGAGTTAACACAGAAACTTGTCTGAAATGATCTGAGATGGTCCTTATCAAATTTTTTTAATTTTTCGGGTCTGTTTGAAATCTGATATTGCAGCCATGTTGCTACCTTGAAAAACATATGTTTAGGTCACCTGAGCTATCCTCTTTTGTTCGTGTTTTGTCTGTCAGAATGCATTAACTATTTACATTTTCAACTTCTCAAGAACCGCTTTGCCATTTCCAACCAAAATTATCAATATCATAATATCGAAAGGGGAATGAAAAGTGGTCTCCATTGGATCTGGGAGTGGGGCGAAAACCTCAAAAAAATAGTGATTTTTAAAAAAACCTTTTCCACTCTTGTACCTTTCTGATGTAAATGCATTATATTGATGTAGTTTCCTAGAGTTACTCTACCAAAATTGCGAAATCTGTTGCCCCTGTATACACCTGTCAGCATCAAGGGGTTGGGGCAAATGGGCAAAAGCAAGAAGGCAATTTTGCTGAGAACCTGTCGACTCTTTACGTCTACTTTTTGTATAGGCAAGGATTAATGTGAGGATTTATTTTATGTAAGTTTAAAGATCACAGACTCAAAGGAATAGAAAAAAATTGATGAAACTTGGTTTTGCATCATTTTACCATTAAGATCTTAGATGAGTTAACAATGGAACCAATTTGATGTAATTTACAGAGTTAAAGCCCTTTGTAATTACATCATTTTACCATTAAGATCTTAGATGAGGTAACAATGGGACCAGTTTGATATAACTTACAGAGTTAAGGCCCTTTGTAATTTAAATTTGGTTGAGATCAGTCAGGTGACCAATTAGGCCCATGAGACTTTTATGGTTTTTTTTTTTACTTCTTGTGTTTACATGGTGCCATTTTGTAACATGGTTTGCAAAATCATGGTTTCCCTGAACAACACCTATTTAAACTGTTTTAGGTCACCTGAGACAAAGTTTCATGGTGACCTAATGCGATGGCCTACGGTATCATGTGTCTCACAGTTCTTCCTGAGGAGAGGGTAAATTTTACTGTAGTTTATTAAGGATATTTAGATGTTTTAGCATGATTTGTTTAATTTCCATTGGAAGTATAACTGGGTTAGAGTTATAAGTGAAGGATGAAGGCTTTATGATATGCCCATATTGTTCCTGGCTGACCTCCAGAGGCTGATGGGTGAAGCCAAAATGGATCAGATTGACTATAATAATTTTCTCAATTACTGTAATTTTTATAGAAAAATTGTGCTTTTTAGCATAATGTTTATTCCCCACTGGTAAAAGCTTATGAAGTATTATCAGTATAGAATGACAGTTTTGATGGTATGCAGGTATTAACACGGGCTTACTATCATCAATGTCATTATTTCCTTTTAATGGCACTTGAAAGCTACTTACCTTTTAACCTTTATAATCATTATTGCGTATCTCAGATGACTGTCAAGGCTGATAGGCCCCTTTTTTTAACTAACCTGGCCCAAAGGGCCAAGTGAGCTTATGCCATAGTGTGGTGTCCGTCAACTTTTCATTTAAACAAATTCTTCTGAAATACCTAAAGGCGAAGAGTTATCATATTTGGCTTGAAGGTTCCTTTGATAAAGCCCAACAAAGTTCGCAAAAAGAAATGACCTTGACTCATATTCAAGGTCACAGAGGTCAAATGTGATGGTGACATCACTATTGACATGCATGAAACGTTTTATTATTGGGTTTTGAGTTAGGATTATGTTTTATAACTACATGTACCTGAATTTTTCCTGTCTTTATATTTAATTGTTGCTTGTGCAAGTTTCAAATATGTTGTATCTGTGTTTGTAAACAATGATCTAAAGGGCAAGTAAGCTTCTGCTGTCCTGGGTCATCCATCCAGCTATAACTAAGAGTTTTTCTGCTATATTGTTTGACCATCTTCCTTCCTTGATTTAAAAGAAAGCTATTAATTACATTTAACTTGAAACATCATAAGAAAGTCTCAATTCAACATTGCACAGATGAGGGGACTGACCACTAAGGGACAGAACCCATATGGAGTAATTTGTCATATTGCTTTAAGCATCTACTGTGGAACATATGCACAGATATAGTACTGTTGGTCATAAAGATCTAGGTGAGTGATACAGGCCCTCTGGGCCTCTTGTTTAAGTATTGCTTACATTAGTTGCTTTTTGATTTGTTTTGCAGCTTATATTAGTACTGGACAGGTGATGGGCTGGGGAAACAAGGCAATAGAAATCCGTGCGGCCGAAACTGGACATCTGGACGGTGTGTTTATGCATAAGAAAGCTCAGAAGCTCAAATTCTTGTGTGAGAGAAATGACAAGGTATATTTCATGATCAATTCATTGATAAGGAAAACAAACCATTATAAATAGATTGAAATCCTAACACCTGTTGATGTTTTACTAGAAATCCTTACACCTGTTGATGTTTTACTAGAAATCCTAACACCTGTTGATGTTTTACTAGAAATCCTTACACCTGTTGATGTTTTACTAGAAATCCTAACACATGTTGATGTTTTACTAGGTTACTAGAAATCCTAACACATGTTGATGTTTTACTGGGTTACTAGAAATCCTAAACATGTTGATGTTTTACTGGGTTACTAGAAATCCTAACACATGTTGATGTTTTACTGGGTTACTAGAAATCCTAACACATGTTGATGTTTTACTGGGTTACTAGAAATCCTAACACCTATTGATGTTTTACTGAGTTACTAGAAATCCTAACACCTGTTGATGTTTTACTGGGTTACTAGAAATCTTGACACCTATTGATGTTTTACTAGGTTACTAGAAATCCTAACACCTATTGATGTTTTACTAGAAATCCTTACACCTGTTGATGTTTTACTAGAAATCCTAACACATGTTGAAATCCTAACACCTGTTGATGTTTTACTAGAAATCCTAACACCTATTGATGTTTTACTAGGTTACTAGAAATCCTAACACCTATTGATGTTTTACTAGGTTACTAGAAATCCTAACACATGTTGATGTTTTACTAGGTTACTAGAAATCCTAACACATGTTGATGTTTTACTGGGTTACTAGAAATCCTAACACCTATTGATGTTTTACTGAGTTACTAGAAATCCTAACACCTGTTGATGTTTTACTGGGTTACTAGAAATCCTAGCACCTGTTGATGTTTTACTGGGTTACTAGAAATCCTAACACCTGTTGATGTTTTACTGGGTTACTAGAAATCCTAACACCTATTGATGTTTTACTGGGTTACAAGGTGTACTTGTACATCAAAGTATTGTACTTTAGAAAAAGAAAATAAAAATATTAATCCTGTAAAAAATTAAACAATGATTTATTTCTTTCTTAGCAAGACAAAGTATTAAAACTTTTCATAACGGAGAAAAAAAATGTTATTTGTGAAACCATAATACCATTTCAAAAAACAAGAAAACAAAATAAAAAATAAAACAAACAGATTTCTCAAAATAGCAAATTACCTTTTGATTTTTAACAAATGCATTTTGTATAGATTTTTTTAATTGTCTAACTTGTAGTTATTGTTTATTACAGGTGTTTTTCTCCTCCGTGCGGTCGGGGTCCTGCTGTCAAATATACTTTATGACATTAAGCAAGCCCGGTCTGGCAAATTGGTGACAACATGGAGCCATTATCTCAGGGTTAATGCGTAAATTCTCATCTGCAGCTTTTAAAATACATCACAACTTTTTATCCTTTGACACTAGTTCAGTATTTTATTTGGGCAGAAAACATATCTTTCCAAACGTCACAAAAGCTGAAAAAAACATGGTTGATGTGGAAACTGCCTACTGTTTTCTATGGATGAGACAACATTACCATGGGAACCATGACGACTGGTTGTCACAGATGTGTGAACACATAACTATGGTTGAGTGATCGAGGTTGTTTCAGTTCTAAATGTGTAAAGTCATTGACACTCGCTATTTTTCACTGAATTGAATATAAACCCATTTAAGTGTTGATATATATTATACAGCTTTCAATTTCACTGTTGTTATGGCAGGGGACAATAAAGGAATGACAATGATGTCATATCCTGTTGCCAAGGCAGACAGAGGTGTACAGAGGCCTGCAAACACTGCACAATCTTGGAAGTTTACAGAAGTCACATAAAGGGAGAGGACTTGTTAGAGGTGTGACGGACAGCCAAACTGAGGCAAAAAGTGATGTAGCCGATTGTGTTCACTGGAGTATTTTTCACACATAATAGGCGTGTTTTTTGTATTGGGCTGTACCAGACTGTTGGTGACAGACTGTTGATGACAAATTCTACTGGGTTGTACCAGACTGTTGGTGACAGACTGTTGGTGACAGATCCTACTGGGCTGTACCAGACTGTTGGTGACAGATCCTACTGGGCTGTACCAGACTGTTGGTGACAGACTGTTGGTGACAGATCCTACTGGGCTGTACCAGACTGTTGGTGACAGATCCTACTGGGCTGTACCAGACTGTTGGTGACAGCTACTGGGCTGTACCAGACTGTTGGTGACAGATCCTACTGGGCTGTACCAGACTGTTGGTGACAGATCCTACTGGGCTGTACCAGACTGTTGGTGACAGATCCTACTGGGCTGTACCAGACTGTTGGTGACAGACTGTTGATGACAAATTCTACTTGGTTGTACCAGACTGTTGGTGACAGACTGTTGGTGACAGATCCTACTGGGCTGTACCAGACTGTTGGTGACAGATTCTACTGGGCTGTACCAGACTGTTGGTGACAGCTGTTGGTGACAGCTACTGGGCTGTACAGACTGTTGGTGACAGATCCTACTGGGCTGTACCAGACTGTTGGTGACAGATCCTACTGGGCTGTACAGACTGTTGGTGACAGATCCTACTGGGCTGTACCAGACTGTTGGTGACAGACTGTTGGTGACAGATCCTACTGGGCTGTACCAGACTGTTGGTGACAGATTCGGAATGCATCCTTTTATTATGTTTGTCCAGCACTGTAGGGTGTTGTACTGTAGCCAATTTGGTCTGTTGGCCAGGAATATGCTTGTCAAGCCTTAACTCGAAGTTTTTAGTAAAATTCAAAGGCATTAAATGTGATATAGTCTGGTTTTATAAACATTGGTACATGGAATCTGCAAAGTGAATCATTCAGATAAGTTGGTCATAACTTGGAACTCTGCAACCTTGACTGTTCTGTAGCAAGGAAGCTGGGAAAATCTGGTTATCCTGTCTATGATGATATATCCTGATTGTAAGATGATATGATTAATAAACAGTAAGACGATACACCCAGTTTCTTCCAGTGAAAGACTTGACAGAGTTCCATTTAAGCTTGATTTCACACAATATATTTCACAGTTAAAACCTTATTGTGGTAGTTAAACAGGTCTATATTGGTGATGGACCAGTGGAGTACAATTCCATATTTACCCTTATTCACCCACAAACTTGTCTGTGCAGCATCTCTGTGCAGTATTTGACGAACTTCAGTGCATTTTTGGTGTAATGTAGAATTGAGAATATGTATACGTTGACTGACTATAATACTCAGTTGTCTGTAAGTCCAGTTAACCTGCCTCTGGCTACTAGTGTTTGTCCTTACTTTGTTGATGTTGGTTATTATTTCTGCCAAACTGCTTTTAATTGTTGTAGAATTCCTTCTTCCATTAATTCCATGAAAATCTCTTGATATATTTTAACAGAACTATGAGTATCACATTAAGCTGAATGTCTGTCTTCTGTCCTAAAGTGGTCACATCATTGATAGGTGAGGGGAGATAATCCTTGTCAACATTCAATGACAGCACTCTAAGACAAACTTTCGTGTGTGAGGAACCTGAAGTACTGTGTGCCAAAACCATGTGATTTTTATGTAAGTCTTGGTTAATCTATTTAGATGCAAAATCACTAAGATTTTATTAGTTGCCCTGTTTTTTCTAGTTAATATTTAAAATCTCGCTTCTCTATGTATGTTTGACCTTGAAATATGTGTGAAGCATGTTTGTTCTGATCAAGATCAACAGACATTTTGATGTTTCAACTGCTATTCAGTTTGTTGTATACTTAATTTATGTTAATAACTTTGTATTTCTTCACATTTCAATGATCTCATGCTTATTTTTCATTTTGTATTTAATTTGATTTTAAGAACCAAATTTGTCTTCGTGTTGTATAGGAAATTCAGTAAACTTATTTGAAACTTCCGAAAGAAAATTAAAATTTTTAGACAAACCCTTTGTTATATCAACAATTTGAAAAGTTAAAGTTTTTTTTTTAATTGTTAGTAATGGATCATCTTTAAAACTTTATCATTACTTATCATAAGTTTGTGACTTAAATTCTTTTTTTTTATGCTCAAGTGCAAAACCTATTTATGATTTTTGAAAAATACTCATTGTCTTTGAGACAGAGAAGAGGTTGATCCCACCGTTGTTAAGTTAGTTTTATATATTGTGTCTGAAAAAAACCACTGATGCTTCAGGACAGAAATCTTGATTAATAACAATTTTACGGTTTAAGTAAGTTTCCATTTGTACAAATTGTAATTTTCATTTCTTCTAATGGTCTATTACTTATTATGTATTCATATGCTGTAGGGTAATTAAGTGTCTGGGTATGTTAGCAGAAGATGTCTAGAAAAATTCTTGTTTATTTTCAATGATTAGATGATGCATTCATTTAAATAAACTAACCCGATTTGATATACATTTTTGTGAGATATGATGTAGATATGCCAGATCTGAGACCAGTCTCCAGGGTCCTGCACTTCAATCTGGATTCATGATAGTGGTTGAGAGTGTATCACAAACTTGTAAGATGTAGGTTCCTAACAAAGTAAAAACACGGATTATGTTTTTTGATATTGCAGTAATGATAGGTTACCTCCCTTTTTTGTAAATCTTCCTCACATCAAGCATTCTGTACTAGGATCAATGAAATATTGGTTAACATCTTAACACATGTAGATAATATTTTTCCTATTGGAAATGTACACCGAGTCTGATGTCCAAAGTTTCTCTTTGAAAATGTTGTATCACTTTTATTTTTATCAGAAGGGTGTCCATTTAAGATTTGGAAAATAAGTGAGTGATATTTGAACTTGAAGGAAGTTTTGATGTAACTGTTGTGAAGGATTATGTTAAGATTTGTTATCATTGCTTTCATGAAACTCATTTCAACAAATTAAATGCTAATTAGTGTGGGTCTTTTTAAATTTCTATCCAGACATCAGTTCCTTCAGAATAAGATTTGAAAATATTAATGTTATCATTTTGCTTTTTAAATAGATTTACCTCTGAAATTTAAGCCCACAATCATCAGATGATGGGCGGTTCAAGTCGCATCTTCATCCCTTTTCTTGAATCTCTTTATCCTTAAACAGTTTAAATGATTTCTTGAGACAGGCCCTCATTTTGATGTGTGTTGTTATCATTATTTCTGGAGAAGTCTTTTTCACTGCTGTTTCCCAAACTTTACTGTTTAGGTTTGGTCAATGATTCATTGATAAAAAGAGCGAAATGGCAGACAGGTGCTGCCATCTGTGATTTTGACAGTGAGAGTTTGTTACTTATGTTTCTTACGAGGTTCTGGATAGATCGTTCTCCAATTAGTCTGAGGTTATGCTCTTTTGATTTTTGGATTGACCAGATAAAGAAAGAATAAGGTGACCATCTCTGATTTTGACACGGAAAGATTATTATAACCATTTCTTAAAGAGGAATTTTCAAATATTATATTGATAAGAGCTGAGAAAAGAGTAGAAGGGGATAAATCTGATACAGAAAACGGTCAGAATCCCGCGGGGACCTCCTGATAGGATTGTAATATGAGTGACAGAAAACAGCCAGAATCCCGCGGGGACCTCCTGATAGGATTGTAATATAAGTGACAGAAAACAGCCAGAATCCCGCGGCGACCTCCTGATAGGATTGTAATATGAGTGACAGAAAACTGCCAGAATCCCGCGGGGACCTCCTGATAGGATTGTAATCTGAGTGACAGAAAACTGCCAGAATCCCTCGGGGACCTCCTGATAGGATTGTAATCTGAGTGACATACTTTGGGAAATCATTTTGATCACAGAAAATTTTTAGTTTTTTTTTCAAATGTGAAGAGTTGGTTAAAGTCTTGGATGTAAATCTATCCTATCGCACACTAGCATATATATTTTTTTTCCAACAAAGGGTGTAAAGTTGGAAAATTGATCCAGGTAAGGATCATGTTGGAGGGAAATACATTTCAATATATAATGTGTTGTAATCCACTATACAAATTGGTGGGTTAAAGTTGAACTACCAGGTGGTTCAGTATACATACACTCATACATAATACAATGTTTATATGTCTGGAGAATTCCACAAGAGTATGATATATTCTGTAAGCATGAAAGTATTACTAGTGTCATTTTATATTTATAGGAAAGTGTTTGAACCCTATTTGTCTGTGTAGCACATATGACATAGTCCATATAACACATGACACAGTCAGTGTTACATGTATGTCATGGTCTGTGTTACATGTATGACATGGTCTGTGTAACATGTATGACATGGTCTGTGTTACATGTATGACATGGTCTGTGTAACATGTATGACATGGTCTGTGTTACATGTATGACATGGTCTGTGTTACATGTATGACAGTCTGTGTTACATGTATGACATGGTCTGTGTTACATGTATGACATGGTCTGTGTAACATGTATGACATGGTCTGTGTAACAAGTATGACATGGTCTGTGTACATACATGGTCTGTGTAACACGTATGACATGGTCTGTGTAACATGTATGACAGGGTCTGTAACATGTATGACATGGTCTGTGTAACATGTATGACTTGGTCTGTGTTACATGTATGACATGGTCTGTGTTACATACATGGTCTGTGTAACATGTATGACATGGTCTGTGTTACATGTATGACATGGTCTGTATTACATACATGGTCTGTGTTACATGTATGACATGGTCTGTGTAACATGTATGACATGGTCTGTGTAACATGTATGACATGGTCTGCGTTACATGTATGACATGGTCTGTATTACATACATGGTCTGTGTTACATGTATGACATGGTCTGTGTTACACGTATGACATGGTCTGTGTTACACGTATGACATGGTCTGTGTTACACGTATGACATGGTCTGTGTTACATACATGGTCTGTGTAACATGTATGACATGGTCTGTGTTACATGTATGACATGGTCTGTATTACATACATGGTCTGTGTTACATGTATGACATGCTCTGTGTAACATGTATGACATGGTCTGTGTTACACGTATGACATGGTCTGCGTTACATGTATGACATGGTCTGTGTAACATGTATGACATGATTTGTGTAACACATTTGACATGGTCTTTCTGTTTTGTTAGTGCCATGTGTGTGGACGTCTTAAAAGCTCATGCTTAATCCAAGTGCAATTTTTCTAAATAAACTGAGAGGAGAACACCTGTCATGCATTAAATTGTCTTTGTGTTGTGTGTAACAGCGGGGAAAATAATTTATGCTTATCACAAAAGAAAATCATGGAATTCATTCGAGTTTCTGGAGAGGATAAGTTTCAGTTAAATAATTTTAATGATCTAATAGATAATTCACATCTCACAAGGCATAAAGAATATATTGTAGTTATGAATGCTTACATTTGTGTACCCCCAAAAACTCATAAACCAAAGTAGGACTGCATCTTTATATATTGCAAAACATTTTCTGGCGGCATCTGTTGTCAGTCCATCGATCAGATTTCCCTAAAATTTGTTGCTAGTTATAAACAAGTGAGTGCATTTAAGCATTTTCTTGGAAAGCAGACTCAACAGCTTTTCAATAACCAAAAGGCCTAGGATGTTGATGTCTGGGCATGTAACATGCTTGAATGATGGACTATTAAGTTTATCAAATGAATTTGTTAAGAACTTAAAATTTCTTCTTTCTCAACAAGCAGTATTTATCCTGGTCTTTGTGTAGTAGCATGTGGGAGGAATAAACTGAGAAGTTGGTAGAAATTTACTGAACAAACTGACCAAGTCTTCTGTATAATTAAACAGGTAAACAGTTCCGGGCCATTGGTGAGTGGGTAGCATTACATATACCCTTAATAGAGCAGCTGAGCTTATACTATGGCATGACGTCTGTCATCCTGTTAACAATTCTGTAAGAATCTAAAGGATCACATGGGCATATAGTGATATTTGGCCGATATCTTCTTGGGATGTAGCTGGACAAAGTCGGTAAATAAAAAATTCAGTTGACTTTCTATAAAGGTCACAAGGGTTAACTATGTCAAAACCTTCGAGCAACTTCTTCTTAAATACTGAAAGGCCTAGACACATGACATTGGACTGGTAGCTTCCTAACAATAAGATGAGCTAAATAATGCAAACAAGTTACATTGACCTATTTTCAAGATCACAGATGGATCGAAAAGGTTCAAATATATATGTGTATAGGACTTTTCAAACACCAAAAGACCTCATAGAGGCATTATACTTGACTGGAAGAAGTCTAGATTTGATAACCGCATCAAAATCGTCCTGCCCAATAACGAGATATTGACGTGTGAAATATACAAATTTCACTTGTCCATCGATTGATAATCATCCTCAGTGTGACTCGCGTTGAATGGGACACTATCGGCAGTGATGTCACAAGTTCAACGACTGGTAGCAGTCGCCATGGAGAGTTTAGAACTGTTTGCCATGCCACGTTGTGTTACAATTGAATGTTTTTATAGTTTAAACAAATTGAGGATCCTGACCATAACAATATGTAGATAGTAAAACAGTCATATGAAATTTGCCAGAAGCGATCAATTTAAACCAATTTATTGTCAACTTTAGAACAAGGGACGAGACACCTTTTATAAACATTTATATATATAAACAAAAACTATTATTGAAATATGCATACACTGTTTATCTACAATAATCTTTCCTATTAAAATCAAAATTTGTACATAGATTTAGTGAAGGACTGGACATATCTGAAGATATTTGAAACAAGCTTTATGGTAAGATTAGGATTTGCAAACAATATCGTATACAAATTAGGCAACATTTAAAATAGTGAAATTTTAGATAGAATTTTTTGGTTAGTTGGTATAAATATGACTCAATGAAAAGTAGTGAAAATGTTTTTACAAGGATTAACGCATATACATGAATCATTATTTCAATTAACTATTGAGTTTAATTGAAGCCAAACAGACAACTCAAGGGTAACAAAGCTTGTAGAATCGTGTATTTTCTGACCCTTGATAA